ACCCTCATGTCGTTCCAAACCCGTAAGACCTTTGTTTATCTTCGGAACACAAATTATGATATTTTTTATGCATTCTGACAGCTCTCTGACCCTCCCATAGACAGCAAGGGTCCTTACACGATCAACGTCCAGAAACGTAGCAAGGAGATCAGTTAAATAATCCATGTGACATCAGGGGTTCAACAGTAATTTTACGAAGCTACGAGAATACTTTTTGTGCGCAAAAGAAAAAAAAACGACTTTATTCAAAAATTCGTCTCCTCCGCGTCACCCTCTAGCGCCAGTTTGGAGAGTATCCACTGAACGCAAACAGCGTATGTTGTTCTGTGTCAGCCGCATCACACGGATACGTTGTTTTCTTTCAAATCAAAGCACAAACAACATAGAAAACTTATCCGTGTGGCACAGCTGACACAGAACAACAGATGGAATCTGAGAGCTCTCTGACCCTCCCATAGACAGCAAGGGTCCTTACACGATCAACATCCAGAAACGTAGCAAGGAGATCGGTAAAATAATCCATGTGACATCAGGGGTTCAACCATCATTTTATGAAGCACAATACTTTTTGTGCGCAAAAGAAAAAAAAACGACTTTATTCAAAAATTCGTCTCCTCCGCGTCACCCTCTAGCGCCAGTTTGGAGAGTATCCACTGAACGCAAACAGCGTATGTTGTTCTGTGTCAGCCGCATCACACGGATACGTTGTTTTCTTTCAAATCAAAGCACAAACAACATAGAAAACTTATCCGTGTGGCACAGCTGACACAGAACAACATACGCTGTTTGCGTTCAGTGGATACTCTCCAAAATGGTGCTAGGGAGGAGAGAATTGTTGAATAAAGACAATTTTTTTTCTTTTGCGCACAAAAAGTATTCTCGTAGCTTCGTAAAATGACTGTTGAACCCCTGATGTCACATGGATTATTTAACTGATCTCCTTGCTACGTTTCTGGACGTTGATCGTGTAAGGACCCTTGCTGTCTATGGGAGGGTCAGAGAGCTGTCAGAATGCATAAAAAATATCATAATTTGTGTTCCGAAGATAAACAAAGGTCTTACGGGTTTGGAACGACATGAGGGTGAGTAATTAATGACAGAATTTTCATTTTTGGGTGAACTAACCCTTTAAGGCAGTTCTGAAGGCAAAAGGGCGTCCAACCTGTTACTAACAAGGTGTTTCTAATAAAGTGGCTGGTGAGTGTATGTGTGAGTCTCGAAATGTCCAGTTCACATAGAAGCTTATAATAGAAGCTCAAATAGCCTCTATATGAATGTGCAACTAAAGTAAAGCCTATATTCTATATGTGACTATCACTATATGATATCATAAAACTTAATTAAAAGATGATAAATGTTATTCAACAGTAAAGAGTTGAGAATTTTTATTTGTGCATAGACAACAGATGGGAGCAGTACTGGTAGTGGACAGTGACTAGATCTAGAACTTCAGATGATCCAATCAGTTCCTGATGGACAAAATCAAGTCCTGCCCTACATTTTTCCTTGTTCGAATAGCCGCTTCACTCTGACTTCAATCTGTTTTTCTCTGCAGTGGTGTGTCTACGATACCTGCAAATGTGCAGATATTAGGAAGTGTATGTGTGCAGCCGTGTCCAACTATGCCCACGCCTGTGCTGTCAGAGGAGTCATTCTCCAGGGCTGGATGGATTCTGACCCCTGTGGTGAGAACTTTATAAAGTACACATACTAACAAATAGTTATACTGTATGTGCACTCTGTTACAAATCTGCCTCTGTCTATCTCTGGCTACACAGACATGATTTCGAAGTGTTCAGGGAACATGAAGTACTCCTATGGGGTAACCAGCTGTGGCAGCACCTGCCGCTCTCTCAGTGAACAAGACAACACCTGCCAAGGGTCCTTCACACCTGTAGATGGTTGCACCTGTTCTGAGGGAACCTACCTCAATGAAGGCGGTAGCTGTGTACATGCTGATCAGTGTCCTTGTTACTATGGCAACCAGGTCATAGAGCCATCAGCAGTGTTCGACAAAGATGGTGCTAAATGGTATAAAGTGCAGTTTAACATATGGGTAGTTGATGCATAATCAGTGTTGGGCAGTAACGCATTACTTAGTAACGCGTTACTGTAATTTGATTACTTTTTTAGTAACGGAGTAATTTAACGCATTATAATTTTCAAAATAGTAATTAGAGTATAGTTACAAGCCGAAGTATCTATACGTTACTGCCGCGTTACATTGCTGACAGAATGCAGTGTTTTATAATCTGGAGATTGTAAAAAGGATGTAGCACACGCATTGTCAAGTCAAGTGCCAGTGGATTAGAGACCTGCTCCCGCAGGACAAGACTTGATAGGCGAGTGCAGAGACTCTTGTGTGTGCGCGGGATGCGGGAGAATAAAATTATTCACGGGACTCCCGCAAAATAGAAATATCTAAACATAAAATATCTAAAACAAATAAATTGTTATTCATCTATTGCACAAAAGCTACATGAACTAATATAAAATATAAACGATTAACAGGTGCAAGCGTATGCACAGTTTCTATTTAGGTTATAACACGTGTTTGCAGCGTTGAGCAATGCAGTGCTGAAATTTGCGTGTTCACGCTCTCATTATAACACACAAATTGTAGACATTATGAAAAATTCATTATGCATATATTTATTGTGTTATAACAGAGATTTGTGAGATTTTGATGAACTGAGATGTCTTTTAGAGATTTTAAATGTAACGCACTTTGCTGGCATTCTGCCATGCCGAACCACCCTGTTGAAAAAAACAGCATATGCTGGTTAGGTATGTTTTGACGCTGGGATGCTGGTTTAAGCTGGTCCTTTGCTGGTTTAATAGCATAAACCAGCAAAAGGACCAGCATAAACCAGCAGTTTATGCTATTAAACCAGCAAAGGACCAGCTTAAACCAGCATCCCAGCGTCAAAACATACCTAACCAGCATATGCTGTTTTTTTCAACAGGGCATGCACGCAGCAGCCGCTTGCTTTAGTTAAATATAACAGTGTTCTGTGAATGTTGATGCTTTAATAACAAATATTTATCGGGAGTGTGTATGCTGGGATTTCATAAATTTCATGGAGAAAAAAAGCGTAACTAGTAATGTTACTAATTACTTTTGAAATAAAGTAATCAGAACAGTAACGTGATTACTTTGAAAAGGAGTAATCAGTAATCAGTAATTTGATTACATTTTCAGAGTAACTTGCCCAACACTGCGCATAATGTATCCATTAACTTTTTTCTGAATCATTTTTTAACATTTTTTGTTTTCAATAGTTCAAATGGCAAACAATTTAATAATATTGACATGCATTGTTAACTATTAATGGTAGATTTAGTAATTATTTGCACTGTTTGTTCAAATTACAGCACCTGTAACCTTGGCAAACTGCATTGCTCCAGTCAAAAAGGTGATCTGCAATTAGCTCTTCCGCAATACTACCATTTAAATTCAAACTTGAGTCACCGCTGCTATGATGTGTGCTAATTTTCTCCACCTCATCCATATGCCTTTTGTGCTTTTAGACTGTGTGGCTCCAATGACATTCTTCAAATGCTCAAATCATGGAGAAAAAGGAACGGAGTGTCTGAGGACATGTGAAAAGCAAGATCCAAACAACTGTGTGAGTTGGAAGAATGGAATACATGAATAACTGAATGAATGAAAAGATCAGTTACAGCATTTTTATGTATTTCATGAAATCCTGTTTGCTTACTCAATTTCAAATGTAGCATTTTCATGCCAGCTCTGAATGGTACACAAACCTGATATACAGTGTAGATAACATGCAATAGAAATCTTGTGATACAGCGAAAGGATGGCTTACCAATTTTGTCTTGGCAATAGGTGAGTATGGGGTGTACATCAGGGTGTATGTGTCGAGATGACCTACTTGCTGATGGAAAAGGTGGGTGTGTGAAGATGGAAAAATGTCCATGTACCCATAATGGAGTCACCTATTCACCTGGAGAGCAAGTTCAACAGGACTGTAACACCTGGTGAGCTAATCTCAGTTGTTATAAACCATGTTATCCCAGTGCCATCCTTGTACTATCATTTAACATCTCCACTACTAGTCAGAAATTTAGACACACTTGAGGCACACTTCTTCAAGTATAGTGTAAAGAGGTGCATTTCCAATAATCTTATATGGTTAAATGTACAGAAAACAGAACTCATTATATTTGGTCATACTGATCGTAGCAAGGTTTTACATGACAGTTTAGGCCCATGGAGTTCTAACCTTCAGAAACAAGTAAATAAAATTTGGGGCAGTTTTTTTATTTTGTGAATTTACTCTATATTTCAGCACATGCACAAATGGAATGTGGACTTGTACTGAAAAGGCGTGCTATGGCACCTGTACCATCTACGGTGAAGGTCATTTCAGGACTTTTGATGGCAGAAGATATTCCTTCCACGGAGACTGTGAACACACCATCGCCCATGTATGTTTGACTGTCCCAATGGGGGGGGGAAAGTCGATATACAGATATCTGACACATACCTGACACAATAAATAGGCTTGCAATAAAATAGCATGAAAAACATCAGATTTTATATAAGAGGTTTTAGGTGATAATTATCTGGGGCATTATAATCTGGAATATCTCTGATGTGTGTAACCCCTCTAGGATTATTGCGATATGAACCCCAGTCCCTCCTTCCGCCTGGTCACAGAGAACATCCCTTGTGCCACCACCAACTCCATTTGCTCCAAGTCCATCAATCTGTTCTTTGGGGTGAGGTTATTTCATAGCTCAGAGTCAGCACAGGTGAATTAGCAAAGCTAAAATGTGCAATATAAAACATGTTAAGCCACTTTTCATATCCCACAGAAATACGAGATGATTTTATCTGAGGAGGAAGATGTGAAGGTTGTTGAAAGCAATGGCACAGAGTACCGATATAAAATTACTTCTGCAGGCATATATGTTGTCATAGAGGTTGAAGGTCTTTTGAACTTAATTTGGGATAAAAAAACAAGTGTGATGATCCAACTCAATCACAAATTAAAGGTATGCATTCATTAAAAGTACACCCATAGACAAGAGCTTTGTTCATCTACTAAAAATCTATATGATCTCTATGGCAGAGCAAGGTGTGTGGACTCTGTGGAAACTTTGATGGTAATGCGAACAATGACTTTATGAAGCACAATGGAGAAGTGGTGACAGATCCAGAAGATTTTGGGAATAGCTGGAAGGTGAATCCAAAATGTCCTGATGTGACAAACGTGATGCATCCTTGTGACGCAAATCCACATCGACGTGCCTGGGCTATCAAACAATGCATAATCATCACAACCCCTGTCTTTACAGACTGCCATTCACTTGTAAGTAACAAATTGAGAACAAAATAATCAATCATCACTGAAATAGAATGAATGTGTATAATTTAGTACTTTACAATTTAATGCATTACATCTAGTGCAGTTATCTAACCCTTACAGTTCTGTGTCTGATTTTCCTGTCTCTAGGTAGATTCTGGTCCATACTATGATGCATGTGTAAGGGACACCTGTGCATGTGACAGTGGGGGTGACTGTGATTGTCTCTGTACTGCAGTGGCAGCTTATGCTGCTGAATGCCGTAAAAGAGGTGCTTGTGTGGCATGGCGAAGACCAGACTTTTGCCGTAAGTCCTATTATTTCTATAATTTATTTCGCCTATAAAATGCAAACAAATAACTTGGCGAGGAATGCATTTATTGATTTTCAAATTTTCACACAATAAATATGGATAATTATTAAATTATTTGTAGTTATTTATACCATAGTATCATATATTTGTGTCTGGAACAAGGAAACAACAAAATCTATACATATAAGTACATACATACAAGTAATTCAATATTTATTTAATAAAAAGAAGAAAGTTTAAATCCTTAGCTTTATGGGGCATAAATGTGCCCATAGATGAAATAACTCTCAAATATAACCATTGAACTCAAGTGATTGTTCTTGCAGCTTTGTTCTGTGACTACTACAACGCTCCAGGAGAATGTGAGTGGCACTATAAACCCTGTGGATCCACTTGCATGAAAACCTGCAAAAACCCCTCAGGAACTTGCTCTGATCAAATTCCTCCCCTTGAGGGTAAGAAATAAGAATTTTAGTGTTACATACTGTAGGTACCATAGTGTCAAAAAACGTTTTTAATAGTGTCTTGTTTTTCAGTCTAATCTGACTATTTTATTTATACTTTTAGGATGTTTTCTTCAGTGCCCTTCAGAGAGGCCATATTTCAGGGAGGAGACTATGAAGTGTGTCACAGAGAAAGAATGTAAAGACTGTTTGTATAATGGGAAGGTATATCCACGTGGATCGTACATTTACAAAACCACAGATGGGAATGGTGTATGTTTCACTGCTCTGTGTGACTCCAATGGGGAAATAATAAGAATTGTTACTGAATGCCCCTCCACCTCAACACCTTTCACTTTCACAACTACACCTGAAACTACTAAAACAACTCAAACTTCAGAGACACCCACAATCACATTCACTACTACCACAACAAGTACTGGGACATCGACACCTATGTCAACAGAAACACCGTCCACAATCACATCCACTACCACTACAACTACTGGAACATCGACACCTACGTCAACAGAAACATCACCTACAACTGTTACAATAACACCCACATCAACAGAAACACCATCCACAATCACATCCACTACCACTACAACTATTGGAACATCAACACCTACATCAACAGAAACATCATCTACAACTGTTACAGTAACATCTACATCAACAGAAACACCACCCACAATCACATCCACTACTACTCCAACTACTGGAACATCGACACCTACGTCAACAGAAACATCACCTACAACTGTTACAATAACACCCCCATCAACAGAAACACCATCCACAATCACATCCACTACCACTACAACTACTGGAACATCGACACCTACATCAACAGAAACATCACCTACAACTGTTACAATAACACCCCCATCAACAGAAACACCATCCACAATCACATCCACTACCACTACAACTACTGGAACATCGACACCTACATCAACAGAAACATCACCTACAACTGTTACAATAACACCCCCATCAACAGAAACACCATCCACAATCACATCCACTACCACTACAACTACTGGAACATCGACACCTACATCAACAGAAACATCACCTACAACTGTTACAATAACACCCCCATCAACAGAAACACCATCCACAATCACATCCACTACCACTACAACTACTGGAACATCGACACCTACATCAACAGAAACATCACCTACAACTGTTACAATAACACCCCCATCAACAGAAACACCATCCACAATCACATCCACTACCACTACAACTACTGGAACATCGACACCTACATCAACAGAAACATCACCTACAACTGTTACAATAACACCCCCATCAACAGAAACACCATCCACAATCACATCCACTACCACTACAACTACTGGAACATCGACACCTACATCAACAGAAACATCACCTACAACTGTTACAATAACACCCCCATCAACAGAAACACCATCCACAATCACATCCACTACCACTACAACTACTGGAACATCGACACCTACATCAACAGAAACATCACCTACAACTGTTACAATAACACCCCCATCAACAGAAACACCATCCACAATCACATCCACTACCACTACAACTACTGGAACATCGACACCTACATCAACAGAAACATCACCTACAACTGTTACAATAACACCCCCATCAACAGAAACACCATCCACAATCACATCCACTACCACTACAACTACTGGAACATCGACACCTACATCAACAGAAACATCACCTACAACTGTTACAATAACACCCCCATCAACAGAAACACCATCCACAATCACATCCACTACCACTACAACTACTGGAACATCGACACCTACATCAACAGAAACATCACCTACAACTGTTACAATAACACCCCCATCAACAGAAACACCATCCACAATCACATCCACTACCACTACAACTACTGGAACATCGACACCTACATCAACAGAAACATCACCTACAACTGTTACAATAACACCCCCATCAACAGAAACACCATCCACAATCACATCCACTACCACTACAACTACTGGAACATCGACACCTACATCAACAGAAACATCACCTACAACTGTTACAATAACACCCCCATCAACAGAAACACCATCCACAATCACATCCACTACCACTACAACTACTGGAACATCGACACCTACATCAACAGAAACATCACCTACAACTGTTACAATAACACCCCCATCAACAGAAACACCATCCACAATCACATCCACTACCACTACAACTACTGGAACATCGACACCTACATCAACAGAAACATCACCTACAACTGTTACAATAACACCCCCATCAACAGAAACACCATCCACAATCACATCCACTACCACTACAACTACTGGAACATCGACACCTACATCAACAGAAACATCACCTACAACTGTTACAATAACACCCCCATCAACAGAAACACCATCCACAATCACATCCACTACCACTACAACTACTGGAACATCGACACCTACATCAACAGAAACATCACCTACAACTGTTACAATAACACCCCCATCAACAGAAACACCATCCACAATCACATCCACTACCACTACAACTACTGGAACATCGACACCTACATCAACAGAAACATCACCTACAACTGTTACAATAACACCCCCATCAACAGAAACACCATCCACAATCACATCCACTACCACTACAACTACTGGAACATCGACACCTACATCAACAGAAACATCACCTACAACTGTTACAATAACACCCCCATCAACAGAAACACCATCCACAATCACATCCACTACCACTACAACTACTGGAACATCGACACCTACATCAACAGAAACATCACCTACAACTGTTACAATAACACCCCCATCAACAGAAACACCATCCACAATCACATCCACTACCACTACAACTACTGGAACATCGACACCTACATCAACAGAAACATCACCTACAACTGTTACAATAACACCTACTTCAACAGAAACACCATCCACAATTAGTACAACTACTGCTACAACAACAACTCCCATCTGTGCTGATAGATGCACATGGTCAGATTGGATTGATGGCAACACACCCAGTACAGAGCCAGCAGGATTTGAAACTGAATCCATTGATGAATTGCGGAATTCAGGAAAGATTATCTGTCAGAGCCCTGAGGTGATTGAATGTAGGGCAGTAAATTATCCCCAAAAGTCTCTGCAAGATTTGGGACAGACACTTTATTGCAATACATCATTTGGACTGTCATGTTCAAATGAAGACAATTCAAATGGCATGCCACCACTTTGTTATAATTATGAAATACGTCTCAAATGTTGTGAACCAGACTACCAGTGTACTCCTACTACAACGTCTCCAAGTACACTAACATCAACTACCTCAACAACCACTGTAACACCAACACCTACAACAGTTACAATAACACCCACATCAACAGAAACACCATCCACAATCACATCCACTACCACTACAACTACTGGAACATCGACACCTACGTCAACAGAAACATCACCTACAACTGTTACAATAACTCCCACATCAACAGAAACACCATCCACAATCACATCCACTACCACTACAACTACTGGAACATCGACACCTACATCAACAGAAACGTCACCTACAACTGTTACAGTAACATCTACATCAACAGAAACAGCATCTACAATTACATCCACTACTACTCCAACTACTGGAACATCGACACCTACGTCAACAGAAACACCATCTACAATCACATCCACTACTACCTCAACTACTGGAACATCGACGCCTACGTCATCAGAAACATCCCCTACAACTGTTACAGTAACACCTACTTCAACAGAAACACCATCTACAATCACATCCATTACTACCCCAACTACAGGAACATCGACACCTACGTCATCAGAAACATCCCCTACAATAGTTACAGTAACACTTACATCAACGGAAACGCCATCTACAATTAGTACAACTACTGCTACAACAACAACTCCCATCTGTGCTGATAGATGCACATGGTCAGATTGGATCGATGGCAACACACCCAGTACAGAGCCAGAAGGATTCGAAACTGAATCCATTGATGAATTGTGGAAATCAGGAAAGATTATCTGTCAGAGCCCTGAAGTGATTGAATGTAGGGCTGTAAATTATCCCCAAAAGTCTCTGCAAGATTTGGGACAAACACTTAATTGCAATACATCATTTGGACTGTCATGTTCAAATGAAGACAATTCAAAAGGCATGCCATCACTTTGTTATAATTATGAAATACGTGTCGAATGTTGTGAACCAGACTACCAGTGTACTCCTACTACAACGTCTCCAAGTACACTAACATCCACTACCTCAACAACCACTGTAACACCAACACCTACAACTGTTACAATAACACCCACATCAACCGAAACACCATCCACAATGACATCCACTAGCACTACAACTACTGGAACATCGACACCTACATCAACAGAAGAATCACCTACAACTGTTACAATAACACCCACATCAACCGAAACACCATCCACAATGACATCCACTAGCACTCCAACTACTGGAACATCGATACCTACGTCAACAGAAACATCACCTACATCTGTTACAGTAACATCTACATCAACAGAAACACCACCCACAATCACATCCACTACTACTCCAACTACTGGAACATCGATACCTACGTCAACAGAAACATCACCTACATCTGTTACAGTAACATCTACATCAACAGAAACACCATCTACAATCACATCCACTACTACCCCAACCACTGGAACATCGACGCCTACGTCATCACAAACATCGCCTACAACTGTTACAACACCTACATCAACGTACACAACCACTACTATCACACCATCTACTGTAACAATGACACCTACATCAACAGAAATATCATCTTCAGCTAGTACAATTACTGGCACAACACCCACATCAACAAAGACATCTACAAGGACCTTCCCTACTACAACAAAGTTCACTGTGGATACAGGGACAACTCCCAGGATCACCTCAAATCCACCATCACCACAGTGTGCATGCAAATATTTAAATGAAACATACTCATTAAGTAAGTACTGCTTTAACAATTCTCTCTCAAACAAAATGTTCCAACGTTACAGTTTGTTTAATCCTTTATGTGTACATTATCTTGACCCTACATTACATTCAACTTTTTTATAAATTCTCTCTTATTGTTTACCTCCTTTGCACATCCTTTTATTATAATTACAGATTCAACCATCTACAATCGAACAGATCAAGCAGGTTGGTGCTATACTGCCTACTGCAACTCCACCTGTGATATAGTGATACAGTCTCAGCAATGCATACCACCCCCAAGAAACGACTGTGCACAAGTTAAAAGAAAGGTATTTTCATAAGAGTACAATAGCAGTACACTTATGCAACAACACTTAAAATTTCTACAAATTTTCTGATGTATTTTTTTTTTCAAAATTAACAATACAAAAATAGCCTATAATGATTATTTGTTATTAAAACAACTAAATTAATTACGTATTGTATAACTACTAGATGACTGGAGTACTAATTGTTAAGAAAATGATTTAAAAAATACCTGAAATTAATTATAATTAGTTTTTTGATTAGTTTCTGTTTATCGATCTGATTGTGTCATTTAGCATATGGAGTCATGGATTAAAGACTGCGTAAACAAAACATGCATAAATGGCAGTGTCACCTCAAAACCTCTACAGTGTGACAAATATGCCATACCTACATGTACTAATGGAATTAAACCTAAGAAGGTGTCTTATAACAATGGCTGCTGCTTTAAGTATGAGTGTGAATGTGAGTTTAAATCATGCTCATGGACATTTCATTAATTTTAAATATTTATATTAAGTAAATGTCATTAATCCTTATGTTTACTTTTGGTGTAATTTGTTTTGGCAGGTAAATGTAGTGGCTGGGGTGACCCACATTACAAAACATTCGATGGAACATACTATGCTTTCCAGGGAAATTGCACTTATGTTTTGTTCCAAGAAATCATCCCAAGATACAATATCAGTGTCCATGTTAAAAACTATTTTTGTGATATTGAAAATAATCTCGCCTGCCCTGAGTATGTGATTGTGAACTACAAATCTTATAAAATCAAGCTGACTAGCAACACTAAAGAGGTCCAGGTAAGTCTTAGGATTACATCAAAACATTCACAGGTTTCTGATTGAATATAAAAAAATACCTACAAATTTTACTCTAGAGAATAATTGTTATGATAATACAGAAAGGCCTTGTTTCCCTCAGGTCTATGTTAATGATGAAATTAAACAACTAACTTACATAAATAATGACTTCTTCATCACCACCTCTGGCATGGCAGTAACTGTGAACATCACTGAAATCAAAGTTGACATTTCTGTGAATCATCAAGGTTTTGAGATCAATCTCCCATTCTCCTACTTCCATGGTAATACAGAGGGACAGTGCGGTGAGTACAGATAGAAAAATATCTGAGAGATGGGAACAAAGAATACTGCATGTGTCAGTTTCATTTTACATTTACCAGTGCAAAAAAAAAAAAAAGAATTCTCTCTACCTGAATGTTAATAATAAATTTACTTTTAACTGTCCCATTACTTGCTCACTAAATTCAGATTAACTATAATTAAAACTAAATTTAGGGGTTTGTGACAACAACCGTGCAAATGACTGCAGACGTCCCGATGGACAAATCGACCCATCATGTGTGAACATGGCACAGCTTTGGATGGTCCCCCCAGGATGCAAAACACCTCAATCTCCACCTCCATCTCCATCTCCAACTCCATTTATTTCCTGCAATGTGACGATTTGTGATCTCATCAAGAGCGAGTAAGGAAAAGCAAAAAAATGTTAATCACTTCTGTTGGTAACACTGATTATTTCAAAGTGTTTTTTCCTTTTAAAGGTATATGCAAGTAAACTGTCATAATTTATTCACCCTCAACTTGTTCTAAATGTGTTTGACTTTCTTTATTCAGTGCAAAAATAGAATAAACAAAGTCATACAGGTTTGAAAGAACATCATGGTAAAAGATGTCAGAATTTTCATTTTTGGCTGCACTGTGCCTTTAAGATGCCTGAAATCAAAAGTCAAATTTAGTATATGTTTCTTCACAGTATGTTTATGAAATGCCATGGGGTCGTTCCTTATGAAAATTATTATGAAGCATGCAAATATGATGTGTGCCACATGAAAAAGAGCTCTATTGGTTGTACCAGTCTGGAGGCATACGCTCTGATATGTGGCAAAGAGGGTATCTGTGTAGACTGGAGAACATCAGATGAACTCACGAAAAAGTGTGGTAAGCAGAATGAACCTAACCATTTGAGTATTTTTGGGTGGTTTTTTTTTGTTTTGTTGTTTTTTAATATGTTGTACTTGAAAGGACCTTGACACATAATTGTCATTGATTTCTATAACAGAATACAAGTGCCCCAGTCACAAAGTCTATAAGGCATGTGGTCCTAAAGTTGAAAAAACCTGCAGTACAAGGTAAGCTCACATCTCATATCTACAAAACAACAGTCATTAGTAAGTGCGGCAATTGTAATACTTCATTATCTGATGTGCTTCTGTTAACTTAAAACTATAGGTACAATGATAAGTTTGTGGAGAAAGACTGTCAAGACAATAACTGTCATCAAACAGTCACGGAAGGCTGTTACTGTCCTGATGATAAATACCTAGTTAGTTCAACGATAGATACCTGTACATCTTATTGCGGTAAGACATGTTGCTTTATTTACTTACTGTAGTTCCTTATTTTCTCTGTTTGCTAGATTAATGCACATTCACGTCTTATTTCCACTGATTTAATTTTCATTCCCTCCATGTAGATTGCATCGGCCCTGATGGATTACCTAGACAGGTATGTATAGGCAAAACAAGATGTATATAAAATAATAATAATATTTCAGTTAGCATTTGCTATTCATAATCATCACTAATTCCTAACTATCATCTACTTGTTTTTCCTCCTGCAGCCTGGGGATACATGGACCATGAGCTGTTATGAATACACATGCTCCAACGAGACCTTTGGTATTAAAACTGTGCCTGTCGGGTGTCTGGCTGAAAAGCCCTGTGGACCAGAACAAAAGAAAATAATTGAAAACTGCTGCCCAACCTGCGGTGAGTCAAGACTAAACTTGCTTGAACATTACAAGCAAGATAATGAATTTGAAGCAAATAAATGATTCACAATTACTGCCACTATTGAACTATCCCTACACAAATGCATTCAAAAATAATTTATAAGACTCCCCATTTCTCAACCCATTTAGAGTGTGATCTCGAGCTGTGTCTTCAGAAGAAATGTGATGTGGGATACGAGTTGGCAGCAAATAAATCGGAAGACAGTTGCTGTCCACCCTGTGGTAAGTCTCACATATCATTCTGTGGATTTAAATGTTAAACAATTAGCTGTCCTACAAAAAAACGAGTCATTCCTATCAGTCCATGTTGTAATTTAATGTATTTCTATAAAAATGCAATCTGAAGAGAATCTGGAATATGACATTTTCTATTTTTTACATGGCAAAAATAGCAACATCTGCTCAAAGCAGTAATGTAATTATTTAAAAGGCTAACTAATATGATTTCTATCTTTACATTGTGAGTTTAATATTTTATTAAGACATAAAAATGAACTGCGTAACACAAATGACAAGTTTTCTTTAAATTGACTAAAGTAGCGCAAACTATTATTGAACTGGTTTAATGGCTTATAAAATAGATTTTTATAATTTTCAGTGCCCAAAGACGTATGTGTGTACAATAACACTGAGTACCAGGTAAGCTGCTGGGTTCATTTGCTTAAACTAATAAAGTTAATTTGGGCAAATCCTGATATTAAAAAAAAGGAACAAAAGATAATACTGTTGGTATTTTACACTTTTCTGACTAGATAATCTGTTTTCTTCTAGCCTGGAGTTAAAGTCCCCACAGATCCTTGCATCGAATGTAACTGTCTAATGGATAAAGACCCACAGACCCAACTACATCTCGTCACGTGCGCTTCTATAGCCTGTGCACTTTGCCCTGACGTAATAATTACAATTTATTCTTATGAACCATTATATCGACTTCTAAACTATAAGTATATAAACATCTAATTATAAAATTGTTTTTTGTACTCCAAGGGCTTTCTGCCAGTCAAACAAGAAGGAGAATGCTGTGAAACATGCAAGCTAAATAACTGTTTTTATACTGCGCCAGACAACACCACACATATTCTCAAGGTGCATATTCTCAAACGTTTCTTCACACATTCAGTTCACCAGATCTGTTCAGCTATTAGATCTTTTTTTTTTTTTTTGTAGACTGGAGACACGCACAACTACAAGTGTGAGACTGTGACCTGTCAACAAATTAATGACACATTTGTGATTGAGAAGACCATACCAACCTGTCCTGAGATCAATCCATATGAGTGTGTGCCTGTGAGTTTAATATCTTTAGCTCATGTTCCAAACATGAAGCACTTGTTCTGTTTGTTTCTATCTTCCAAAACTGAAAGGTAAAGCATGTCAGGTTTTTTTTTCCATGTGTAGTGCTTAAATAATTCAGCTTAAAAGGTGTTGTAACTTTGGTCAACATTTACTCACCCTCATGTTGTTCCAAACCTGTGTGAATTTTTCATCTTTGGGACACAAAAGAAAATATTCTAATGTTGTTTTGAAAGACGTTGACTTTGTACAGACAAAACCATTTGGATAATATGTTGCTTTATCATAATTACACAGGTTTGGAACAATACAAACTATGAGTGAACTATCCCTTTAATTATGAATATGATGTTTAAACAAAGCCCTATTTGTCCTTACAGGGAACGCTGAAACTTGATGCAGATGGATGTTGCAATACCTGTAAGAAATTGTTTCCTTGTTCAAAACTTCCTTATGGTCCTGCTTTTTATAAACAAGTCCCAGTATTTTAAATTGTTCCAAAAATATATTTATATCATCTCCTATTACCTCTAATATCTCAGGTGAGCTCAAGGACTGTATTCGTGTGAAGAACAACACAGATGTTACTGTAAATGACTGCAAGTCCATCCATCCCATAGAAGTGACTTCCTGCAGTGGCCACTGTGACACAGAATCAATGTGAGAGCACACTGACATGAGTTCTTGTGAAATATACTTCATACTTACATACTCATATTGAATGATTGTTAATTCCAGCTGTAAACAGGGCTATATTACAACTTTAACACAGACTTGTATATTGGAAGCATTTTTTTATGCTCAACTGACTGGTGTTTTTCTTGGAAATCCACAAAGGTATTCAATGGGCGCCAACATCATGATGCACAGCTGTTCTTGCTGTCAGGAGATGAAAACCAGCATTAAAAAAGTGCAGCTGAAGTGTTCTGATGACAGTGTGATCGATCATGACTACGTCTACATAGAGAGCTGCAAATGCACTCCAGTTACGTGTGAAAACCAGAAGACCAGTGGATAAAAGATCCCGTTCAGTGCGTCTGCTATACTGCTACAATTCCAGATAAATTGCAAAAAACATATATATATATATATATATATATATATATATATATATTGTTGAAATATGGGACCATTCAGCTTTTTGTTCTATAACTATTATCTCTCAGGGCATTTTCAGGGCAATTTGAACATTTTGTTTCTTCTTTAGCAATGCAAAATAAAATTCTTTACATTAAATTTTTGTGAAATGAGTGATGACTATAATAAAGCAAAATAAATGGCAAAAAAAAAACTGTATAATGGACTTTTTTTCTCTCCCAAAATGATCAGGAAATAGAAAACTGGCATCAGCACTTAGCATCAGCTAACATTAAACAATACTTTCACAGCATCTTGGTTAATAATATTTATTCCTACATATGCTAATATGTTTTTTTTTTATTGTAATGTTTCATGTAATTCCAATTAAACTTCAAAGTTTATGAACAAACCTGAATTAACAATGAACAAATGTTTATTTATGAATTAACATTAACCTATATGAATAAATGCTGTAAAGAACATGATACTCAATGCATTAAACCTGTTCCTGTAGATCCACCTTACTGCAAAGTTAAGTTCTAATCAAACACACATGCACCAAAATATTCAGAAACATACTCAAAGACAGTTGTGTTGAAGCAGGGTTGGAATCAAACTCTGCCGTAAGGTAGATCTCCAGAAACAGGATTTGGCACCCCTGCATAAACTATTGTTAACAAATTACCATCAAACATGCATGCAAAGCACTCAATGAATAATGACAAAGAAACACACAAGAAGCTTACATCGGAAAACAAAAATGAAGCTGAAACTAAAGAGAATTTAGACTTCCCTACTTTGTAATTTTTTCATATTATACAATATTTTTAAGTAACATATATTGGAACCTTTTTGTTTTAAAAGACAACTTTAAGACCTGAGCATATATGTGACCCTGGACCACAAAACCAGTCTTAAGTAGCACAGGGATATTTGTAGCGATAGCCAAAAATACATTGTATGGGTCAAAATGATAGATTTTTCTTTTATGCCAAAAATCATTAGGATATTAAGTAAAGATCATGTTCCATATATTTAGTATATTTCCTACCATAAATATATAAAAACTTAATTTTTGATTAGTAATATGCATTGCTAAGGACTTCATTTAGACAGCTTTAAAGGCGATTTTCTCAATATTCAAAATAATTTTTTGCACCCTCAGATTCCAGATTTTCAAATAGTTGTATCTCAGCCAAATATTGTCCCATCCTAACAAACCATACATCAATGGAAAGCTTACTTATTCAATTTTCAGATGATATAGGGTTTGGTATCGATTGGGTTTTTTACGATATGGGTACCAAATCGATACTTTTAAAACGGTACCGGTGCCTGAACCGATACTTTAAAAAAAGAGCCACACAATAAACAATGGATAACATTAAAGAACATTAAAAATAAATATACATAACATTCACATGCTCCTAGGATGCTCTCATTTCCCGAGTTGTGCATCCCTTACTCTAAGGCTAATAAATATATTTCACGATCTGGGTCATTATTTAATACAAAACAATATTTAATACAAAACCACACATAATGTTTCTACTGTATCTCTGTCAATCACTCTGATATTTAGTTAAAATTAGTGAATTGAGTGCTGTCTGTCACTGTCTTTAATCAGTTCTGTGAATGTGTATAGTATGCCACATGCACTGTAATATGTTATATATTAAATATAACATTTTCAAATGAAAATAGCAACATGATCGTTTTATAAAGTATGTGTTCATATGTGTTGAGGGCTAGATTTTCGCTGGAGGAAACAGCTGTGGTGTGATGAGGGTTGAACACAGTGAAATCTTTACAGTAATGTTAGATGGGAAACCGATCGCTCCCTCGTGACCTTTTGTAAACTGTATATATGACAAAGAATCTGACTTTTTCAGGTTTTAAGTGCTATAATCAGGATCCCAGTGCATCTACCAACCAAGGAAACGTGAAAAAGATTAACTCAGTAACTTTGTTTTGAGAAGCCTTTTTCTGCAAGCGTCTGAGAAAACAAGGGCATCTGATTTCGCTCCCTTGGTGACATGGCAAAGGGATCTCATTATAATATTTCCGCCCCTTAATCTGTAAATTTACACCCACGGCACCATTATTGTGTTTTCGCAAGCGACAACGGTGTAGCAGCTCTAATCCCATGACGAAACTTTGAGCAAAACATGCTAACTGTTCTGTCTTTGGCTGCACAGACGAGCACAGAACACTGTTTACAGTCCCAGCCTCAGAGGAGACAAATCCCAGTGCATCTACCAACCAAGGAAACGTGAAAAAGATTAACTCAGTAACTTTGTTTTGAGAAGCCTTTTTCTGCAAGCGTCTGAGAAAACAAGGGCATCTGATTTCGCTCCCTTGGTGACATGGCAAAGGGATCTCATTATAATATTTCCGCCCCTTAATCTGTAAATTTACATCCACTGCACCATTATTGTGTTTTCGCAAGCTACAACGGTGTAGCAGCTCTAATCCCATGACGAAACTTTGAGCAAAACATGCTAACTGTTCTGTCTTTGGCTGCACAGACGAGCACAGAACACTGTTTACAGTCCCAGCCTCAGAGGAGACAACAGAGCAGTGGATTTATTGATTTAGTTACTGTATATTGCTGCTGCCACACAGATCGGGCTACCTGTTTTTTGTTTTTTTTAATGGTATATCAAAAAGTGTATATTTTTTAAATGTGATTGTTGGTACATTTGACCAGTTTTTACCATACTTTCAAAAAAAAAATTTAAAATAGGAAAAATATGCAATATAAAAATAATTGAACAAAATGTGTTTTACTAAGAAAAAAACTGATTTGGTTTTTAAAAAGCCTTATTCCAAAAGGTACATCTGGAAAAAGGGGGGGTCGTCTTATAATCAGGGTCGTCTTAAACAGAAAAGGAAAAAAACACCAGGCCCAGATTGTGTTTCACCAGTCTGTCTGAAATCCTGTGCTGACCAGCTGGCCCCCATCTTCACACAGATCTTCAACAGATCACTGGAGCTGTGCGAAGTCCCTTCATGCTTCAAACGCTCCACCATCATCCCCATCCCAAAGAAATCCAAATTTACAGGACTTAATGACTACAGGCCTGTGACTCTAATGTCTGTGGTCATGAAGTCTTTTGAAAAACTGCTGAGCGAATCGTTGGTACAACCCTCCCTTCTCTCCAAGACCTGTACTCATCCAGAGTGAGCAAAAGGGCTGGCAGAATCACTATGGACCCCTCACATCCAGCACACTCCCTCTTTGAACTGTTGCCATCTGGTCGACGCTACAGAGCTCTGAGTACCAGAATTGCCAGACACAGGAACAGTTTCTTCCCTCAGGCCATCCATCTCATGAACACTTGACAATAACTGTGGAACACACATTAATTATTCACTCATACACTTATTTATCTAACACACATTCTCAGTCTACATTTCAATTTGCACATAATATACCTGTACATACAACTGTCTATTGTTATATAACTACATACAATTGTCGATTTGTATATTGTTTATTCCTTATTTTACTTTTTTTATTTTTTATTATCTGTTTTTTTGTTCTGTCACTGTCATTCTGTTACACTGTGGAAGCTTCTGTCACGAAAACAAATTCCTCGTATGTGTAAACATACCTGGAAATAAAGCTCATTCTGATTCTGATTCTGATTATATTCGGGCCAATACGGTATATTAAATATTGTAAAAAGGGGCATAATATGTCTCCTTTAAAGGGGACTGACTCTGAGGCGATCACGAATTTGTGTACAGTTTACGGAGCTAATCGCTATAGCCCCGCTAAAAATGGCCTATCGACGCCCATGCTTCTTACGTCCATTTCGGAGAACCAGGACAAATAGCCTATTTCAATCGATCGCTCAGGCATTTAAGTGGCACCGAAATCTGCGTTCTGATTCGGAACTAATTGTGGAACTACCCACTTTTTGGCGTTTTCGCACCGCCGGAACTGGGTGCGATTTTAGTACCGGACTGCCTTTTTCGAGAACCAAATTAGCTCCAGAATAAGAAGAGAAGAAAGCGGCCCTAGGCAGCTGCCTACACATGCCAGGATCCGCCACTGCCAGATGCAGTTAGAAATTTACTAAAAACAAGCCTATCGCAAGACATCTGGTAGGGGGGGCACCTGGGGTGGCAGCCAAATTTCAGGGGGGGCCGGTGCCACCACGTAGACATGCCCCTGCCTATAGGTACCGGTGCCAATCGGTACCCAACTCTAAAATCTCAATTTCAAAAAATTGACCCTTATGGTTTTGTGGTCCAGGGTCACATATTATGCTAAATACATATCAAATTCTTTTTTCAGGTATGTAATATCAACACACACCCAATATATTGACCAAAAAGCACAGTCTGTTGTTTAAGGGACCTTTTGAATAATTTAATAATGCTATTGACGTACTTTAATACGCAGTCAAATTCATCCTTCAATACGAGGACTCTGACACTTAGCAAACAGTTAGAATAGAAAAGACAATGTTTACACATTTAAATACTTCCCATATGTTTGCTGTTGCAACCAGAAAGATCTACAGTCGTAAAAAGTTTCAAAGAATTAACCCTTAAACATGTCAAACTGGGCGAGACGAAGCTCTGAGTACACAACTCTGCTGAAAGGCTATTGAATCGAGTACTGTTCCTATTTGCCTTTGATAGACATGCCCCTGCCTATAGGTACCGGTGCCAATCGGTACCCAACTCTAAAATCTCAATTTCGAAAAATTGACCCTTATGGTTTTGTGGTCCAGGGTCACATATTATGCTAAATACATATCAAATTCTTTTTTCAGGTATGTAATACCAACACACACCCAAGATATTGACCAAAAAGCATAGTCTGTTGTTTAAGGGACCTTTTGAATAATTTAATAATGCTATTGACGTACTTTAATACGCAGTCAAATTCATCCTTCAATACGAGGACTCTGACACTTAGCAAACAGTGAGAATAGAAAAGACAATGTTTACACATTTAAATACTTCCCATATGTTTGCTGTTGCAACCAGAAAGATCTACAGTCGTAAGAAGTTTCAAAGAATTAACCCTTAAACATGTCAAACTGGGCGAGATGAACCTCTGAGTACACAACTCTGCTGAAAGGCTATTGAATCGAGTACTGTTCCTATTTGCCTTTGGATTATGCCATAGTATTGATTTAAGATGCAAGTATTAGCTGACTGTCAATTGATGAATATTTTAAATCTAATTAATCACATTTTAGCCGATTAATTAATCAAAATGACCAAAACAATCCAAGGTTTTTATTTAGCACAGTGGCTATATTAACAAATAACCAGACACCACCCGATCTAAATATTCCCTCACAGTTTAATAGTAATGACTTTATGAATTTCTTCACTGATAAAATAGATAACATCAGAAAAACAATAGCAAATGTAGATTCTACAGCGTCTAATACTTCAGCTTCATTCATAGCACCAAAAGATAAACTGCAGTGCTTTACAACTATAGGACAGGAAGAGCTAAATAAACGTATCACTGCATCTAAACCAACAACATGCCTGTTAGATACTGTACCCACTAAATTACTGAAAGAGTTGTTACCTGTAGCAGAAGAACCATTTCTCGATATTATTAACTCGTCGTTGTCTTTAGGTCATGTCCCAAAACCATTCAAGCTGGCGGTTATTAAGCCTCTTATTAAGAAACCACAACTAGATCCTAGTGAACTGGCAAATTACAGACCCATCTCAAATCTTCCTTTCATGTCTAAAATTTTAGAAA